GACGAAAAGTGGCCCCGTAAATGTGCCTGCCTCGACCCATGGGGGGGCCGCTGAAATCGCCAGGCGGCCGCGGGGGATCTGGGGCAGGTGGGGTGCTGGACAGAGAGCGCTGCACCGCTTTGGCTACCTGGGCGAATTGGGCAGGCGAAAGGAGGGGTGGAGGAGCTGAGGCGGACCGAAATTGGCCCGGTGGGGGATGCTTAGGCCTGGCTTCCCGCGGCACCAGCACCCATGGCCGTCTGGACATGGGAGGTATGCCAGCTAAGTGTCGAAGATGTCGGCGTTGAAGTCCTGCGGGGCGGGCGAGGCGGGGTGCCACATGTGAGAGAAGGAAATTGTTGTCGCTTCGCGAATCCCCACCAGCCCATCCAGAAACGATGCCCAGAGGAATTGCCTCGATCAGAGAAGTGGGCAGCACACAGAGGAAGCCATTATGAGACATCTTGGGATATCTTGAGCCATCTTGGAGGTCATTTTGGGCTCTCCCAGACGCTCTTGGAGTCATCTTAATCCGTGCCCCCCCCCAAGAGGCCTCCATGTGGCTAAAACCTGTGTAGAATCAATGATTAGGCATTCTCGCCGAGGCCTCTTGGAGCATCTTGGGTGCATCTGGGGGGGCTCTTGGGGCCTCTTGGGGGTCTCTTGGGGGCCTCCGGGGGGCCTCTTGGGGGCCTCTTGGGGCCATTTTGGGGCCATCTTGGGACCTCTTGGGGCTTCCTGGGCGCTTCTTGGGGCCATCTTGGAGGAGATCGATCAAACAAGAGGGGGGGTTTAATTAGCGTCCCCCCTCGGAAGCCCCTAAAATCGCCTCTTGGACCCCTCTTGGAACGCTCTTGGAGTGCTCTTGGGCGCTCTTGGGGCCGTCTTGGGGCTCTTTTGGGGCTCTCTTGGGGCCCTCTTGGGCCATCTTGGAGCCATCTCCAGGCCTCGGATGGCCATCGGAAGCGAAAAGGCGAGAAAGCAAAAATCATTGATTTTCCTTAGGTTTTGGGACGATTTTGGCCTCTTCGGGGCCTCCTTGGGGAGCTGTTTGGCCACTTGGAGTTATCTTGGGGCCGTCTTTGGGCTTCTTGGAACCATCTTAGGAGCCATCTCGAGCGATCTTGCGCTATCTTGAGCCATCTTGGAGCTCATCTTGGGTTCTCTGAGGCGCTCTTGGAGCCGTCTTGGGCCATCTGGGACGCTCTAACTACCCGCGGCCCCCCCCGTCCAGGTCCAGGGGAGGGGGTAGGGGGAGGGGTAAACCCCTCCCCAAGGGGGAAGAGGGAGGGGTGGAAGAGGATCTGCTCTAGACCACCTACGCCCAGAGGGCTGGTGGGATTCCCGTGAGCGGGACGGGTCGTGCCGCTTGACGGGAACGTTCGGCCCTGATTTGCCTGGCCCGCTCCCTATTGCACTGGATGCGCCTTTTCTGATCCAGAGTTAGGGAAGGCGGGGGTGGCGGCGGAGGGAGGGTGGAGGGAAAAATGGGGGCTGTGCCCAAAAAGTGCATGGCCTCTTGTTCCGCTTCCGAGTCCTGATCTGCGGGATCAGGCTGCTCGTGAGGCTCTGCGGGGAGGTCGCTATGGCGCCGCAGCTCGCGGGGCCTGGAGAGAGCCAAAAGCCTGCGGAAGCGGTCCAGCTCCCCATCTACCTTGGCACGGGTGCGAGGGGCAGAGGAATCAACAAAGTCGGGGCCTAGCCAAAAGTCGCTGGTCATGGAAGCGGAGAAGCGGAAGAGGGGAGCCAGGACCGAGGGGTCCGACTGGGGAAGAGGATCCTGTGGGTCGTCGACCAATGGTAAAATGACGTCCTGATATATAGCCTGGGCGAGACATTCGCAAAGGGCAGAAGGATAGGTCTTTTTGTCAGCAGTGAAAAAGCGGTCATTCTCGTCCTTACCTAGAAGTGTACGATGTGACCCCCGTGGGTGCGTGCACTTGGTCCCTTGGGGACGGTTATTTAGGAGCTCTGGGAGCGAGGGAAGGCGTAGCGATAGCAAGCGCGTGGGGGCTTTGCCGAATTCGTTATGAGGTCGGCAAGACGGTTGGAACATGCACTGGTCGATGTCCGTGGTGCGGACAGCCGGAGCAGCAGCCAGGGCCATTAAAGGTCTCCAAATCCAGCTAGGCTGTGCCCTGGGTTCCCAGTGGGCAGGGCATGGATGTTCCATCCATGCCGAGGTGCCCATTTCCAAATGAGCGGCAAAAAGAAGAACCAATGAGGGGAGGAGGAGGAGGAAGGAGGGGGAGGAGGAGGAGGAGGAGGAGGAGAGGAGGAGGAGGAGGAGGAGGAGGAGGCGGAGGAGGAGAAGGAGGAGGAAAAGGAGGAGGCGGAGGAGGAGGAGGGTGAGGCGGAGGAGGAGGAGGAGGAGGCGGAGGAGGAGGAGGTTTGCGGTCCCCGACAGTGGCAGTCGCCCTCCGCTCCGAGGCGGTGGCCGCGGGAGGTCCGGAGGCGGACGGCTCCTGCTCGGCGGGGGCCGTGGGCTCCGCGGACCCGGCCGAGGGCGCCGGTCGTGCACGGGGTTCTGCTGCTCTCGAGAGCTCCGCCGCGCGGCGGCGGCTCCCCCACAGAGGGGGGAAGCTGCGGCCGCGGGAGCGGCCAGCCTCGCGCCTCGCGTCTTCCTCCTCCTCCTGCTCGTTTTCCTCCTCGTCCTCCTTCTCCTCCTCCTCCTCCTCGTTCTCCTCCTCGTTCTGCTCGTCCTCCTCGGCCTCCTCCGCCGCCTCCCTGCGGGGGGAGGGCGGCTGGGGCCTGCGCGGACCCTGCGGGCGCGGCGCCGTCCGCGCGCCCGCGCCCGGCGGAGGACTTCGGCCGGCTGCTCACGGCCGCGAGCCCCTCATTCACAACCCACCAAACCACCCCAGCCCAACCTGAAGGTCTCGATGTGCCCTCCATTTCCAGTCAGGGGGGGTCGGGGGGCATCGAGAAGAAGCGTATGGAACCCGTACCCCCCCCCCCCCCACCCGAAATTCGGGTCTTCGGGTTGGGTTGGGGTGGTTTGGTAGGTGATCACTCGTGCGTGGGGGAGCACAGACGGGGCGGCGCTGTCGGACTCCGAGTGCTGGTCTCGAGCTCCGTCGCGGGGCGGCCGCGCTGGTCATCGCCAGGCCCCCTTGTGGGGCAGCGCGCTCCGGGCCGTCCTCGCAAGCGGTCGGCGGCCTGAGGCCTATCTGCGCGTCGTCCGTCGTCCGCCCCTGGTTGCGTTTGCGGTGTGGGGCCCTCCCGGTTTCCAGGTTGAGCGGCCCCCGACTCCCGAGTCAGACTGATGATGTGTTCCGTGCTCGAGTGTTGTTCTTCCAGCTGCTCGGTCGTGCTGGCGGCGCGCGCCCCTGGCAGCGTTCGGTTGTCGTTCCGCGCAGTGTCTCTATCTCAAGCAGCAGTCGGTCGGGTGCCATGCGGTGTGCATGGGAGCTCCTCCGCCGCTCTTCGCGGTTTCATTCTCGTGGGGTGCGGGCGGCTGAGCCCCTTGGCGCCCTCCCCAAGTTGTTTCATGGCTCCTCTGTGCAATGCTCGAGTTACTGCCTAATCATGCTGCTCTGACCCCGTTTGCTGAGAGGACCCCCCCACAGCCGCTCTGCTGGCAGGCTTTGAGCGCAAGTGGCGCTCTCACCCTGGCAGAGTCCTCTCGCAACTTGTCCAGGCGATGGCCAGGTTTCTTGACTGCTGGTGGAGCTGCGGCGGGCGGAGCTTCTCTCCGCCGCCCCGCGCACTGCACTCTTCTCGGGGAGGGGTTGCCGTCCCCCATGCCGAGTCGTCGGGGCTGCTGCCCCGCGTGGATGTCACAAGGACTTCCCTCTCGGGCTCCCGTCTTCTCCTCCCCCCTCTGCTCCATCCCCCAGCCCTGCGGCCTCCCCCTCTAGGGGAACAAAAAAGTGGCATAAACATAACAACTCGGAGGTCCGCGCGGATTTCTCGGATCGGCGCTGGGGCCCCCCGGCGGCGCCTCCGGCGCCTCCCTTGGCGCGCTCCGCGCGCCAGGGAGGGGGGTCCAGCGCCGATCCGAGAAATCCGCGTGGACCTCCGAGTTTTTATGTTTATGTCACTTTTTGTTCCCCTACCCTCCCCCCTGGCCTCCTGCCCAGGTCGCAGGAGTGAAGCACAAGCACGAAGCCAGCGCTCCCGGGAGCGAGGGTGCTCGTTGTGTCTTCTTCTGGCCGCTGGCCCTTTGTGGTGCCCTCGTCGCTACGGCGGGACTAGGCCTGAAGTCGTGGTCAGAGCGAGGGTCTTCCGCCATCTTCCGCCTGCCCTTCCTCCCCCTGCTCCCCCCCCCTCCTTGGCCTTGGCCTTGCCCTTCTCCCCCTCCTCCTCCCCCGCCTCCTCCTCCACGTCCTCCTCCTCCTCCTCCTCCTCCCCCTGCTCCTCCTCCGCTTCTTCCTCCCCCTCCTCCTCCTCCTCCTCCTCCTCCTCCTCGTCCTCGTCCTCCTCCTCCTCCTCCTCCTCCTCCTCCTCGTCCTCTCCCTCCTGCCTTGTGGAAGTTTGTCCCGTCGAGCCTCAGATTCTGCCAGGGGGATACGCGGCCCCTCGGACGACAACCGAGTACCGACGACCGACGACCGACGACGACCGACAACAACCGACGATTGTTGATGACGGACGTGAGACGACGACGACGACGACGACGACGACGACGACGACGACGACGACGACGACGACGACGACGACGACGACGACGACGACGACGACGACGACGACGACGACGACGACGACGACGACGACGACGACGACGACGACGACGACGACGACGACGACGACGACGACGACGACGACGACGACGACGACGACGACGACGACGACGACGACTACGACGACGACGACGACGACGACGACGACGACGACGACGACGACGACGACGACGACGACGACGACGACGACGACGACGACGACGACGACGACGACGACGACGACGACGCGGCGGCGGCGCGGCGGCGGCGGCGGCGGCGGCGGCGGCGGCGGCGGCGGCGGCGGAGGCGGCGGCGGCGGCGGCGGCGACGACGACGACGGCGGCGGCGGCGACGACCCAGGCTCGACCTGGGCTGCGCCTCCGACTTTGCGGTCGCGGAGCGCCTGCTGCTGCTGGACCGCTGGGAGGCCGGCGCGGAGGAGCGGCGCGGCCTGGTCGACGTGCCGGGGCCTCAGGCTGCTCGCCGCCTCGCCACGGGGGAGGGGGCCTCGGGCAGGGCGCGCGTCGACGCAGCCGGCGCGATTCGACGTCGATGGCCTCCGGTTCCGATCGGCTTCGGCTTCGGACTCTGGTTCGGGTGCAGCTGCTTCTCGAGGGGGCCTTTCAAGCCTGCCTCTTTCCGCCGCTTCGGCTCCTCCCGATTTAGCTGCCGATGTCCGCCGAGCCGACTTCTCGAATCGATTCTGGTCTCTCATGCGAGGGAGGGGATCGAGGGCGTGATTCTGACACCCTCCTCTGTGCGCCCATTTTGGCTCAAGATGAAAAGGAGATATTGTTGTCCATCGGCATATTATCTCATCATGGTAGCGTGAGCTGGCCACTCACTGCTGCCGACCCCACCCAGGCCTCGGCGCGCCGCGGCCGCGGGCGCCACGGCGAGCCGGCAGGAGGCTCGAGGCTGGAAGAGGGCGGCATCGACCGCGGCAAGCTCGGCAGCGACCGAGCGACCGGCAGGGGCCGGGAAAGGCGGCCGCAGGCGCGGCAAGCGGAGTGAGGCGGCGATCGAGACCAGGCGCAGGGTACTCCAGTACAAGCACGACCTGAGGGAGACTGGCAACAAGCTCAGTGACCTCGCGCACATCGAGGACCATCCGTCGGAGAACTCATCAGACGTCGTCGAGAGAGCGCAGAAGGAAGTCCTCGGCAGGATCACGGACCTCGAGCGTACGAGGCAGGAGATAGCAGAGAGCCGGGAGGAGCTCGCCGAGAGACACGCTGTCAAGCATGGACGAGCAGGTTCGGCAGCAGTTCGAACTGCTGAGGCAGGAGTTCGCGGCTCAAATAAGCCAGGCCGCCGACGAGATGAGGAGGCTGGAGAACGAGAATCAGCGGCTTCAGCAGCAGGTGGCAGGAGGCCTCGCGGCAATCCCGCAGGCAATCGAGCGGATGGGCGAGCAGATCCGGGGCGCGTCGAGTATGAGCACAGCCGCTCACGGTCTCGTCGACACGAAGGGGATCGGCAAGCCCACGACGATGGGCGACGATCAAGAGAAGTTCGGCGCTTGGAATCGCAAGATGGAGAACTACGTGATCGGCGTGTACGGAGAGAGTTTTCGTCCCGTTCTTCGGTGGGCTGCAGAAGCCGAACGCCCCGTGACGATCGCGGGGGCTCAGGCGGCGCACGACGGAGTGCCAGAGCTGGAGACAAAGGTCAACCAGCTGTACGCGGCGCTGATCAGCACGACGGCGGACGGGAGCGAGAGCAACGACCTCGTGACGGGCGCTCCCGATGGGAACGGTCTCGAAGCCTGGCGGAAGCTCCACCGCAGGTGGGATCCGACGACAGGTCCGAGGAAGAGGCTGATCCTGAGGTCGATCATCTCGCCTCCGAAGTGCAGCGCGGACGAGCTGGGATCCGCCTTAGAGAAGTGGATCCAGCAGATAGGCAGGTACGAACGCCGCCAAGGAGAAGATGGTCTAGCCGAGCTGCCGGAGGATATCAAGATGGCGGCTCTCGAGATGCTCATGCCTCAGGACATCGAGAACCACCTCGTCCTCAACAAGCATCGGCTCGAAACGTTCCAGGACAGTCTGAACGAGGTGATGACGATCGTGGAGGCTCGGACCGGCGTGAAGATCAAGGAGCCATCGATCCGTGCCCGGGCGCATCATCCGGACGACATGGACGTCGGGTCATTCGGAGCCCCGAAGGGCAAAGGCAAAGGCAAGGGCAAGGACGGCAAGAGCAAAGGGAAAGGCAAGACTCAGGAGCCGAAGGGGAAGAGCAAATCGACGAACGGATCATACTCAGGCTCCCGCACATCCCCGACGGGTTCGGGCCGTGGTTCAGGGCACACGGCACCTCGATACACCAGCGGGCGCTTCGACGGCTACTGTCGGAACTGCGAGAGATGGGGCCACAAGGCATCCGACTGCTGGAAGAAAGAGCAGGGATCGAGTTCGAGGGCTGGAACTGGATCCGCAACGGGGGCAAGCGCTGGTGGTAAAGCCGGTAGCCGCGGCGGCAAGGCCGGCGGCAAGGCTGCAGGCAGCCTGGAGGAGGAGCCTGAAGCGGAGGTCGCCGCTCTGGACATGGGCAGTCTGGACTGCCTGGAGCTCGCCAGCGGCAGCGGCCGCGGCGTAGCGGCGGTCGATCTCTCTCCCTTCGCGCAGGACGACTGGATGAAGTTCAACTGGGACAGCGGCGCAGCTATCTCAGCATTCCCTCGGAGCTTCGCACCGCCGACGGGAATGAAGGGCAACGGCAGCACGTATCGCACGGCCAGTGGTGAGCTCGTCCCGGACGAGGGCAGCTTGCAGCTCAAGGCGGAGGACGAGTACGGAGTGCTACGAGCGCTCAAGGGACGCGTGACGAACGTGCACAAGCCGTTGATCTCGGTGGGGCAGGCAGCAGGAGCTGGACAGTGTTCATTCCTGGGCCGCAATGGCGGCTGGATATTCCACGAGAAGAGCCCAATCGGCAAGCGCGTGGTAGGCATGCTCGAGAAGGAGGCGAAGGCGGCGAAGCACCAGATGCTGCCGGTCTATCGCGAGCAGGGCGTCTACAACTTCTACCTCAAGAAGGGCCAACATGGCTCGGTTGCTCCTCTCGAGGAGGGACTTTCGGCGAAGTCGAAGTCCGAGCTGGTGGAGCTCCTCAACGGCAAGTCGAAGGAGGAGCTGCTGGAGATCCTCGAGAAGACAGTCCCCAGGAGGCAGCCCTCGGCGTAAGCCCACTGGAGGACTTAATACCACGGCCCCCGGCGGCATCGGCTGCGGGGGCGGCAGCGGCGGGGTCGGGACCTTCCGACGTGAGACCGCCGGGTTTTCAGCCAGCGGCAGCTGCTGCGGCCGACGCTTTGCCAGCTGCTCCTGATGGACAGCAGGCCGACGAGGGCGAGGAGGAGGCTCGCCCGAGAGTGCTGAAGGCACCTCATGAGCCCTCTCAGAGGGAGATCGCCGAACACGAGGCGATGGGACACGCGACTTACCGCAGCTGGTGTCGCGTGTGTATTGCGGCAAAGGGCCAAGGCCAGCCGCATCTCCGCGCACCGGAGGACGACGAGACAGCGGTGCCGGTGGTCTCGTCCGACTACGCCTTCATGGGCCAGGACGACGCGGACACCATGCCGATGCTGGTCCTTAGGGATCGGCGCTCGAAGATGATGGCGGCGACATTCGTGGAGAAGAAGGGCGACGACGCCTACGCCATCAAGTTCTTCGCACGCTTCTTGCGGATCCTGGGCTACAGGAAGATCGTCAACAAGTCCGACGGCGAGCCAGCGATCCTGCTGGTCAAGAGGCGCGCGGTGGAGGAGGTTCCTGGCCTCGAGGCCATTCCCCAGGAGTCGGCACCGGCCGATCATCAGGCCAATGGGGAGATTGAGGTCACGGTGCGCGAGATCAAGAAGCAGGTGCGGGCGCTCAAGATGGACCTGGAGTCCAAGCTGGGCGTCAAGGTGGAGGACAAGCACCCGGTGCTAGCGCACCTGCCGGAGCACGCCGCATCGGTAATCAACCGATACCGGCGTGGCCAGGACGGCAAGACCGCTCTTCAGCGGCTCACGGGACGGCAGTGGAGGAAGCCGGTCCCGCTCTTCGGTGAACGCTTGATGGCGCGGTTCGCCGGGGAACGCGTGAGGAAGAACGCGCTGGAGGAGCAGATGGTGGAGGCTCGCTACATCGGCCACCACCCGCGCGACGGCTCGATGATGGTCATCACGAGCGACGGCGCGAAGAAGGCGGTCGGCTTCCGCAGCCTGCCGCAGAGCGAGAAGTGGATCACGGCGGGCTGGGATGGCCTGAAGGGCCTGCCGTGGGACGTGGCTCCGCGTGCGGCGAGCGCGCCGCGGGCCATCGTCGGACCTGGAGAGGTCGGTCCGTCACCAATTGTGGTGGTGGTCGCCGCAGCCGCAGGCGCCTAGGAGGATGTACGTCCTCAAGGCGGACATCGAGCGGCTGGGCGCAACGCCGGGATGCCCAGGGTGCGTCTCGATCGCTAAGCACGGCCGGGTGCTGGCTGGCCACGCGCACAACGCGGCGTGCAGCAAGAGGATCTTCGAAGCGCTGGACGCGGAGGAGGCAGGCCGGGAGAGGACCGGCCAGTATCGAGAGCGGAGGCAGGGCCAAGAGGCCAGAGTCCGACCGGCGGCATCGGCCGCGGCAGGGACCCCTCCGCCGAAGACGGCTCGGAGGATCACCGAGCCGGTGGCAGCGGCGGCAGCGGCATCGGCCGCGCCGGCCGCGACCCGCTCGGCAGCAGCGCCAGCCGTGGCAGCCGCGGCGGCGCGCCTGCGAGAGAGCCAGCCGGTAGCACCGGGCTTCGGCGTGGCGGCTCCTTCAGGAGGAGCGAGCTCCATTTCGGGAGCGGCGCGAGCGGCAGAGGCCGCCGCGGATGTCGACATGACCGCGGCTAGGTCGCGGCTGAAGCGCTCGGCAGAGGTGGCCCCGGATGACGTGCCGGAGGCCCTCGAGCGCGGTGATCCACAGCCGGCAGACGTGCCGGTACCGGTGGACATGGAGGATCTCGCGGCGCAGCCGGCGCCGGCGGAAGGACCTCAGCTGCCAGCTGGAGTGGCAGTCGTGTGGAACGCCAGTGAGGGGAGGCACATGCGGGTGCTCGCCCTCGATGTGGCGTCGATCGAGCTGGTTGAGCTCGGAGTGCTGACGAGAGCGAAGGCGGAGTTGCTCCCGCTCGTTCGCGAACAGGTCAGTGGCCATTGGGCCAGCGCCGGCGTGGACATCGCCGACGAAGAGGTGGACAGCATCGCCCTATCGGCGTTGCAGCTGGGCGCCGTGGACGTGGCCGAGGTGTACTCGCCACATCGGTTCTCGGCTCGGGCAGCGGAATTTCAGCTGCGCCCGGGCTTCGCGGCGGACCTGGAGGAACTCAAGGAGGACGGGACGCCGTGGGACTTGCGGCGCCCCGAAGATGTCAAGGAGCTCGAGAAGCAGCAGGAGCGGATGGATCCCATCCTGCTCACGGGGCCCCCTCCATGCGAGAAGTTCAGCTTGCTGAGGGGCCTGAGCGCCAAGTTCAGGACCGATGAGCAGGGGGCGGCTGAGATGGAGGAAGCCAGACACCACCTGAAGGTGGCAGTCGACGCCTATTGGCGTCAGCTCAGGAAGCCAGGCAGGTACTTCTTGCATGAGCATCCCTGGAGCGCGCGATCGTGGAATGAGGACATCGTCAAGGAGCTGGTCGCGCATCCAGGAGTCTTCACGGTCAAAGGCCCCATGTGTCGGTGGGGCATGAAGCTCACGAACCCCCGCAATGGCCAGGAGGAGTTCGTGCGCAAGGAGACCGGATGGGTCACCAACCATCCAGGCCTAGCCCGGAGGCTGCAGGGCACTTGCAGCAATGTGGACGGCCGCGCGGAATGGCATCGCCACATCACGCTCGTGGGCGGCATCGCGCGGTTCGCGAAGGTCTATCCACCGAAGTTGGTGGAGGCGGTGCTGGAGGAGCTCAAGGACACGCTGAATGACGTGGGAGAGCTCAGCACCGCCCAGGTGCAGCAGTCGGGCCCAGTCCCTGTGGACGCGGCAGTGCCGCCCGGGGACTGGACGAGTTACTGGGACGACGTCAATGGCGGCTACCTGGAGGCGGGCCTTGTGGCCCAGGCTCGCACGGTCGAGCGCGAGTGGGTCAAGAAGCAGGAGCTGATCGAGATCGTCCCGAGGTCTCAGGCTTTCGCCGAGACTGGGCGTCCGCCCATCCCACTCAAGTGGGTCGACACGAACAAGGGTGACGCGGAGAGGCCCAACTACAGGAGCAGGCTCGTCGTGAAGGAGATCAAGGCGAAGAAGCGCCCTGACGAGCAGCTGGAGGCGTCCGAGGTCTTCTCGGCCATGCCTCCTCTGGAGGCCATGCGGTCGCTGGTCTCGCTGATGGTCACGTGGACGCGGGAACCACCGCTCCACATTCAGGAGTCGCTTCGCAAGAAGGGCAGGAAGCCGGGCAACTTCAAGATCGGCTTCTTCGACATCAGCAGGGCGCACTTCTACGGGAAGGCGCAGCGGAGGATCTTCGTGGAGCTGGAGGAGGAGAGTCGCAAGGAGTACGGCGAGGACAAGTGCGGCCTACTCCTCAAGTCCTGGTACGGCACGCAGGACGCCAGCAAGATCTGGCAGGGCGACTACACGGAGCTGCTGGAGGAAAACGGCTACAAGGCGGGCGCGTCGTGCCCAGCGGTCTTCTACAAGGAGGTGGACGAGACGAGGCTGCTGGGGCACGGCGACGACTTCGCGGTGCTGGCTCAGCAGCAGGACATCGACAGCTTCGAGGCCACGCTGGGCAAGAAGTACGAGTTTAAGAAGACTGCGAACCTAGGCTTCGACGAGGGCGATGACAAGCAGGCGGTCTTCCTGAATCGGGTCATCGAGGTCAGTGCGGGAGTTCCGCCTGGCGGTGGCCGGCCCTGCCGGCACGCGATGATCGAGCCGGACAAGCGGCACGCGGAGATCGTGATCGACGAGTTGGGTCTCAGCAAGGCCAACGGCGTGGACGCGCCGACGGAGAAGCGCAGCGCCGACAAGCAGATGATGGATGCGAAGTCGGCGGCGTTGGGAGCAGCGGAAGCTTCGCGCTTCCGATCCCTCACCATGAGGGTGGCCTACCTGTCTCAGGACAGGCTGGACTTGGCTGAGGCATCGAAGACGCTCGCCAGGTCCATGCAGACGCCAACGGAGGCGAGCTGGCTCATGCTCAAGAGGGTTGGCCGCTACCTCAAGCGGCATCCTAGCACGGTGACGGTTTTCACGGAGCAGAAGACGTTCGACAAGATCCGGGTGTACGTGGACTCCGATCATGCAGGCTGTGCAGTCACGCGGAAAAGCACCGGAGGCTTCGTGGCGATGCTGGGGCATCATGTAGTCAAGCACGGCAGTAACCTGCAGTCGACGGTTTCATTGAGCAGCGGGGAGAGCGAGTACTACGCCCTGGTGAAGGGCGGGAGCGTGGGCCTAGGCCTTCACAGCCTCTTCGCGGATTGGGGGCTGGACCTGAAGGTGGAGCTTGCCTCGGATTCATCGGCGGCCCGGGGCCACGTCCAACGGCGAGGTCTCGGGAAGATGCGGCATGTTCAATCACGATACTTGTGGATCCAGGAGCGTGTGGGCAAGGGCGACCTCTCGATCGCTGCAGTTCCTGGCAAGAACAATGTCGCGGACGTGCTGACCAAGAGCGTGGGTGGCTCCCTTTTGAGGAGACACATGGCTACGCTGAACATCTGGGATCGGGCACCGAGTTCGACTCAGAAGGACATCAAGTGATGGAGTGGATCGAATCCATGCTCCGCTACCTGTGGGGCTGGATGAGGTTCCGCCGGCGGCGGTATGATCGCGCCGGGCGGAGTGAGGGGCTCGCGGCATGGCCGCAGCCTAGCAGATGAGCTGGGCGCGTCGGCTCGGGCGCGCCCGCGTACGACTTAGGTCGTGCCTGGCCGGTTTGCGGCCAGGCCCGAGGAGGAGTGATTCTGACACCCTCCTCTGTGCGCCCATTTTGGCTCAAGATGAAAAGGAGATATTGTTGTCCATCGGCATATTATCTCATCAGGGCGGCCAAGGAAACGCAGGACTCGGGTTCGCTGGAGCTCGGGTCATGTTTGCAGCGGGCGTTCGCGTCAAATTTCGTTTTGGGCCTCGTCAGTCTCTTGGCGGCCTCGCCGGGCCAAGCCGAGTCCCTCGAACCAGAGTCCAGCGCCTCCCCGAACCAGTGGGGGGGGACGTGTTTTTGTCCTCATGCGTTGAACGGTCGTTGCCTGGGCCAGACCGCCCCCCCCCCCCTCCCCCCCCCGGGAACGGTAATGTTAAGTCGGGCCTGTCCCTCTACAGGGGGAATATTGAAAAATAGTTTAAAAATAGTATGGGGACTATCTTTTGAGTATGTTTGGGCATCTTTTGAGAGTCTGTTTTATTTTTCGTCCAAAATCCACCTGCAGGGGACAGGCCCGACCTAAAGGTAATGATCGTGCGTAGGGGCGATGGGGCATGGACCTTCCCTTCTCATCTTGGTGCTCGTGCACGCGCTGGGTTGATCGCAGCGCAGCCCCGCCCCGGTGTACCCGGTGTACCCCACCCCGCCCAAGCGTTCATGGTCAGTATCGTTTGCCCGATCCCCGTCCCCGTCCTCACCCCCTTCGAGGCCCCCACCAAATTACACCCCCAGTCGGGGACACACCCCTCGAAACCCGAAGGACACGGCCTAAATCCCTATCTAGGGAGGTAAATCGGCCAGTGGGGCCCAGCCCACGCTGGTGGGGATGGGTATCGGTGAAACGATACTCAACTTACCGTTATCCGGAGCCCCAACCCTTATATTGGGGGCAGCCGTCGCCGGAAGTGATTCAAGCACAATCTTGCGGACATCATGGCCAGGGCCAATGATAGCCCCCAAGCTTCAGCCACGCGCAGAGGGGGGTGGGGGGGAGGGGGGAGGGCTTCTTAGAAGCACCCCCGCTCCTTAGAAGGCGCGGGCCTCCTCTACAGGTGTCAGGCCGGCGCCTTCTAAGAAGCGGCCTCCTTCTCTCAGAAGCCCTCACCCCTCCCTCTCCACCCCTCTGTGCGCGCTGCCAAAAGCTCGTGTGGCCCCTTTTTTCCCTCCTCTCAGCACGTGGGGCCGCACGAGGGGGCTGGGGATGGGGCGCCGGGGCAGGGCGTGCGAGGCCCGCGGGCTCGAGGAGGCTTCTGGGCGACCTGGCGGGCCTGTCGGCCGCTCTGCGCCTTCGGAGAGCTCTCCGAAGCGGCTTCGCCTCGCCGGCAGCGCTTTGGGCGGGTATCCGAATCGCCCCGAATGGCCGCCGGAGGCCCCATGTCGGGTATGGCCAGGACCCCGGGTGAGGGGACCCGGTTAGTGGTAGGGCCCCAGAGCCTTCGAATTGGCCAGAATCACCAAACCAGGTCTGCCACATCCGGTGTCTTTTCGGGTGGCGGCAGTTCCGGTTAGTGGAAATGGGGCGGGGGGGCGACCCCGGTACGGATCACTGAACCAGGTTCCACTAAACCCAGTTCTACCAACGCCCGACCATGGGGCGTGTCCCTGCACAGGAGGAATTACCAAATGGCCAGAAAATAGTCTGGGGGCGATCTTGTTTTTTTGTGAAAGGATGTTTGACCGTGATTGAGCGGTCTTTGAGAATCTTTTGTGAGTTTTGCGTCCAAGATGCGCCTGCAGGAGGACAGGCGCGACCTGGCCCTGTGGCCCGGAAGCCAGACGACGGGGGCCACCCGGGGTGAGCGGAGGAGGAGACCGGGAGAGGAGAGGCTGGTTACCGCGGATGCTGCGTGCAGCCGGTTTTTCGGCCCCGCCACCGGGCCCTTTGCCTCGATGATTGCGCGGCCGCCCCTGCGGCGCCCTGGGAGGCGCCGGGGGAAACCCAGCTGCGTGAGCTGATTCGCTAACCTCGGAGGCAACGAGAGGGGGGGGTGGGCATAGGGGGGATGCATCGACCCCCAATCGCCCATTGATCGCCGACAGGGGTCCGATAGCCCCAACCTGCCCAGGAAGGTGCGGATTTTCAATCGGGGGCCTACGCCGTCGTTGGTCATGGTTTCGCCTGCGAAGCTCGCACTTTTCGGGGGTGGACAGACCTCCTACCCTGACACGTCGATTAAGGAATTGGCCGTTCTCGGCTCGCGAGAGGGCGTCGCGGCCGTCTTTTTTGCGGGTCCAGGACCGTCGGTTTCGGTCCCAGGCCGTTTTCACCAAGGGGAGGTTTACTAAAGGGAGGTTTGTCCACCGCCGATGTATGTCGGGCGTGTCCCCCTACAGGGGGATTTTCGACGAAGGGTAAAAAAGACGCCAAAAATGCCCCAAGAAGGTCCAGAAGTACTCAAAAAAATAGTCCCCTTACTATTTTGAGACTTTTTGTTATCATTTTTGGAGTATTTGTAATTTTTCGTTGAAAATCTCCCTGTAGGGGGACAGGCCCGACTTAATCATGTTTTCGACTGCGAAGCTCGCACTTTGCATTGCTCTGCACCGCCGTGCCTCGCTTTACACTTGGGTGCATCGCACTGCGGTGCTTCGCATACATGCGCCTTGCTCTGCGCTGCGCTGCATCACCTGGCCCTGCATCTGCTCGCTGCTGTTCCATAGATTTGCATAGTTTTGCATTGCTGTTGCACTTATCAGCACTGCAGCGCGTTGCCTTGCATTGCGTTGCATTTCTTTGCTCTGCATGGCTTTGCACTGCCTCTCACTGCTTTGCAATCGCATTGGTTTGCTTTGCATGGCTTTGCATTGGTGTATGTTGGTTTACGTTGCTTTGCATGTACTTCCATTGCTTTGCACCACGTGGATTGCACTACCTGGACTTCACCACTTTGATTGCACCACCCAGATGGCACCACTTAGATTGGACCACATATATTTCATTAAAACACTGTTTTGGATTCACGCTGGCTAACATGTATACGGAGGACGCGTCAGATTTCGGGCCAGCCGGTCCAGCCATTGTTTGTACGCCCTCGAGGGGGTGGGGGCGGAGGCAGGGCTTTCGAGAGGGCTGTGAACATTTCTCTTAGAAGGAATCGGATGCCTCGAAGAAAAGACTTCTTCGAGGACCCCGAGGGCTTCAATGAAGCCCCATGCCTTCTTAGAAGCAGCTTGGCCGGGGCACGAGAGGCCCTGGGGTTCCCAGACCTCGCGCCTCGAACGTTTGGATCAACACAACGGCGTGGGTATTCGACCTCCGGGGGAAAATAAAGGTGATGCTGTTTGCTGGTGAACTGTTGAGCCTCCAGTGGCCGATCTCTGGTTCCAGCACGCTGTTAAAATACAGTTCAGGACGAGTATCGAGAACGAAATAATGTATACAGTGGAAGCCCGTGCCAAGAAACGCTTTGCCTGCCTCCAAGGTGTGGGTTTCGATGGTCTCGCTATTTAAAGCCTTACGCTCCGACACCAGAAATCGATGGACGTTCTGGGGTCTAGCGTTGGGTCTCTTGTGGAAGCTTTCTTGTGGTCTAGCTCCTACCGTAGATGTTCGGAGGTCCGAGCGGATTCCTTGACATCCGCGCTGGGCCCCCCCCGGCGGCGCCTCCAGCGTCGCCCCGGGCGCGCTCCGCGCGCCAGGGAGGGGGTTCCAGCGCAGATCCAACAAATCCGCGCGAAGCGCCAAAGGTTTCTGTTTATTGCTTTTTTTTCGTCTAGAAAAACGAGGGCGACGGGGGGCGTGTGGAAGGGTGGGGACGGGGAGGGGGTGAAAGCGCGCGCCGGGCGTTTCTGTTTTATGGGTTAGTTTTGCAGTTTGGCTCGATGTTGTGTTTGTTTTGGGTTAGTCTCGATGCTTTTCTTCTCTTGCTAGAGTAGCTGGCCCGCGGGGAGGATGCCCGCGGCTCGGCCCCGCCCGGCGCCCACGGCGGACGCCGCCCTCCTTGGCGGGGAGGCTCCCGGGCGCGCCTCGCCGACGGGGCCGAGGAGGGCCTGGCACGGGGGACCGCCCTCCCCGAGGCTTGGCGCGCGCGCGCCAGCGACGGCGCCCCCCGGCGACACGGCCGGCCCCCGCGCATAGTAGGCAGCGGCCTCGTCCCCCTCGACGGGGCCGAGGGCGACGAGGCCGAGCCCCGCGGGCGCGCCCGCCTCCCGAGGGCCCCGCCTGGCCCGCCTCGACGTCGGGCGCGCCGGGAGCTCCGCCCACGCGCTCGAGCGGCAACGGCCCGACACCGGGACGCTCGGAGGGCCTCGGCCACCTAAGACAACAGCCGCGAGCGGCTTTGGGCCCTTGGCCAGCGCAGCTGGGCCCTCCCCGACCACCAGGACCTCGTCGAGGCGCTCCGCCTGCGCGTCGGCGCCGCCGGCCCCAGCGAAAACACCCATGGCCGCCGCTTTCTGCGCCGCGCTGCTCGGCCCCGCGGGCTCGCACGCCCGCTGCTGCAGCAGAGCCGAGGCCTCGAGGGAGCACCACGCGTTCGCCAGGCAGACATACGAGGCCGCCAAGACATGCGATCCTGCCACCGACCTCGGGGCGCAGAACCTCGTCCCGGGCACCCGCCTAGGCTGCGGCCCCCGGACGTGCTAACGGGGCGTTCGGGCACGGACTCACCGCGCTCGACATCGGGATCGTTCTTCCCGACGCATGCCGTGCGGGCCGAAACTGTGTTCCCGCATGTGTGAACGCAAAGTCGCGTTCGATGCCCCCCACCGCAATGTTCTGGACCACCAGAACATCCCGTGCTGGCCACTCGTTTGGTCTTGGCATACAGCGGACTCCACCCCCAGATTACACCCATCCTCCGTGCTCTTGCGCCGCGCCTGGACCCGCGGAGGGGATGCTCGGACGGGGCGTGGCGGTGCCGCCGCGTGGCTGGCGCAACTGGCGTGGCGTTGTGGCGCCGGGCGCGCGCCTACGTTCTGGTTTGCTGGCCCGGCCCTGGCGATTAGGGGCGCCGGCCGACCCGCGCCGCAGGCGCGGGCCCCCCTCCGCCTCGTCCCCGCCCGACCTCCCACAGGCACACGCTCCTGAGTGACGGGGTCTGGTGGCTCACACCCTGCGGCCATGCCCCCCGCGCTGCCGCCTGCTTTCCTGATTGCTCGTTGCCCCTTTCCCCATCCCCGTTCTCATCCTCCTCCTGCTCCTACTCCTCGTTTTCCTCCTCCTCCTCCTCTTTCTCCTCGCCCCCCTTTCCTCCTCCTCGTCTTTCTTCTCCTCCTTCTCCTCCTCCTCCTCCTCCTCCTCCTCCTCCTCTTCCCTCTCCTCCTCTTTCCTCCTCCCCCTCCTCCTCCTCCTCCTCCTCCCTCCTCCTCCTCCTCATCCTCCTCCTCCTCCTCCTCCGCCTCCTCCTCCTCCCCCTCCTCCTCCTCCTCCCCGACGGCTCCTACCTCCTCCTCCTTCCTCCTCCTCCCCTCCTCCTCCTTGCCCACGCTCCTGCCTCCGCCCGTCCGTCCTCCTCCCTCCTCCCCGTGGGCCTCCTCCTCCTCCTCCTCCTCCTCCTCCTCCTCCTCCGACGGCTCGGCGTACGAGGGACGAGGGCGACTTCCAGCAGTGCACTAACGTGGGCTGGGCGGCAGTTGTGCTTCAGGAAAACGCCGGCGTGTTCCACGCTGGTGTCTCAGGGGTGCTGTGTGAGCCCTTCGCGGACATCAGCGGTGGTGAGCTGGCGGCGTTGCTGGCCACGCTTCGGCATGCCGTGCCGCCCGTGTGTCCGTGAGGGCCATCGTGGGCAGCAGCGTCGTTGTCCGAGGGGTGACCGAGCACGGCAAGGTGATTACGACGAAGTGGGGATACGCGTGGGCCCATCTCTGGCGTGAGTGCTGCAGGCTGATCGACGAGTTCGGCGGGCTGGGGGCGCAGGAGCTTACTATGATGAAGGTGCCTGCCCATACTGCTCGGCCGAGGGCAGGAGGCAGTGGCAGCATCTCAATCCGTGACTGGATCGGCAACGTCTTCGCGGACCGAGCGGCGAAGACCGTTGATGAGCATGCGAGGATCGCGCCTGGTGACGGCTGAGCGCAGCCAGAGGCATGGTCGAGGGCGTGGCCATGTGGGTCTCAGCCGCGGGCGCGGCATTCGACGGCGCGGATACCACCCACCATTCGGCGAAACCCAACCGCGCGGCGCCGCTGGCACACAAGCACCCAGTGCGACTTGCGAGGCTCGCCTATAGCGCGATGGTGTGCCAGGTGCCGCTGGGCGGAGCGGGCAAGCGAGTTCCCAGGCCCGATCGTCGGGGCGGCGCTCGACCACAACCGAGTGATGCGCGAGGGAGGTGAGCTGGCGCACGTGTTGGTGCAGGTCATGCCGCAGGCCGAAGGGCAGCTGCAGAAGGGCTTGCCCGTGCTGGCCTGCCTCGTCTGCGGGGCGACGGGCGCGGCGAGGAGTTACTCGTTCGCCCGCGCCTGTGGCGAACCAGGGGCCGACGGCAAGCTGGTCATCGCAAGGCTGGCCAATGCCCTGGCCCCTGGCATTTCTGGACGAGTTGCCCTGGAGTGCGAGGGGTGAGGAGGCCCCACATCCCCTCGCGCCTCTGGCAGCTGCCACGGCGTCGCCGCGGAGCTCTTCGGCGCCCGAGCGCGCTGGCGCGGTCGGGCGCCAGCGCGGCCGAACGCTCGCGCTGCTGCGCGCGCCTCGTCCTCCTCATCCTCCTCCTCCTTCTCCTCCTCCTCCTCCTCCTCTTCCTCCTCCTCTTCCTCCTTCTCCTCCTCCTTCTCCTCCTCCTCCTCGTCCTCCTCTTCCTCCTTTCCCTCCTCCTCCTCCTCCTCCTCCTCTTCCACTTCCTCTTCCTCCTCCTCCTCCTCCTCCTCCTCCTCCTCTATCTCCTCCTCCGCCTCCTCCTCCTCCTCCTTCTCCTCCCCCCTCCTCCTGTCCTCCCTGCGGGCCTGCGTTGGTCCGCGTTTGTACTCCCGCGGGGGGATAGTTGCGACCGGTTCCAGGGCCTCGGCGGGATTGTGTTCACGTGTGACGGACTGTGACGGCGACGCGGCCGGGACTGCCGTATCTCAGGTGGTTCCTTGTCTGGCATGTCATCCTGTCCTCCTCCCGGTCTCCTCTGTTTGTTTTTGTTGTCCCTGGAAGGCTGGGTCAGTCCTCCCTGGCTGGCGCCCACGAGCGGCAGCTGGTTAAATTTGGGTGTGCCAGCGTACCCGCGGTTTTAAGTCGTTCCCCATTTGGTCCACTTCTCTCTACCTTCTGACTCCTGTCGTGGTGAATGTATTGCCCGGGCTATTTACGCGTTTCAATGTGGGATTGTCGCACTTCTGATCGTCACGCCAGGGGACGAGACGTTTGAGTGTTAGTTCGTACCTGTCCCCATCTAGTTTCTCTCCTCCTCGTCCTCATCATCATCATCATCATCATCATCATCATCATCATCATCAGCAGCATCAGCATCAGCATCAGCATCAGCATCAGCATCAGCATCAGCATCAGCATCAGCATCAGCATCAGCATCATCATCATCATCATCATCATCATCATCATCATCATCATCATCATCATCATCATCATCATCCCCCTCTTTCTCTTCGTCCTGGCCCCCGCCCCCTTCACACCAGTGAGGCCAGTGCTTTTTGGCTTCTGGTATGGGCCAGACATATAAACAACCGATCTATCGTGCTGGAGGAAGCAATCGAAGTAGCGAGGGCCCAGACTGATGCTACGAGCCACCAGCCGTCATATGCATGACAAGGTTTTCGCAAACGATGCAGGGATGCAGGGATGGAGGAGGAGGAGGAGGAGGAGGAGGAGGAGGAGGAGGAGGACGAGGATGAGGAGGAGGAGGAGGAGGTGGGATGAGGGGGGAGGGAGGAGGAGGAGGAGGAGGAGGAAGGCGGAGGGAAGAGTGCAGAGAGAGGGAGGGGGGGAGGAAGGGAGGGAGTGAGGGAGGGAGGGAGGGAAGGAGGAAAGGAGGGAGGGAGGGAGGGACGAGGAGGAGAAGGAGAAGGAGATGGACGGAGACGATGGCGAGGGAGAGGACGAGGGCAAGGCCGAGGTCGATGGCGAGGAGCGAGAAGGAGCAAGAGTGATGATGATGATGATGATGATGATGATGATGATGATGATGATGATGATGATGATGATGATGATGATGATGATGATGATGATGATGATGATGATGATGATGATGATGATCATCATCATGAGCATGATGATTATGATGACGACGATAATGCTGATGCTGATGGTGATGATGATGAGTATGATGAATATGGTAATGATGATGGTGGTGGTGGTGATGGTGATGATGGTGATTATGGTGATGATTGTGATGATGTTGATGATGGTCATGATGGTGATGCTGGTGCTGGTGCTGGATCTGGTGATGGTGATGGTGATGGCGATGCTGACTAGCATGATGAAGATGACGATGATGATGGCGATGATGGTGGTGGTGATGGTGATGATGATGGCGTTTGTGATGGTTGCGATGATGATAATGGTGTTGTTATTGATGGGGATCATGATGATGGTGATGATGATGCCGATGCTGATGATACTGTGGATGATGTTGATGATGACGGCGATGGTGATGATGACGATGCTGATGATGTCGGCGATGATGCTGGTGATGGCGGTGATGATGATGATGCTGTGCCTGACACTGATGACGATGATGATGACGATGATGATGATGCTGTTGATGATGATGCTGCTGATGATGATGGTGGTAGGCGTGATGGTGATGCTGATGATGTTGATGATGCTGATGCTGATGATGCTGATGCTGATGATGATGCTGATGGTGATGCTGATGCTGCTGCTGATGATGATGATGATGATGATGATGATGATGATGATGATGGTAATGGCGATGGTGACGCTGATGATGGTGATGATGCTGATGATGACGATGATGGTGATGTTGACGATGATGATGCTGGTGGTGATGGTGATGGTGATGATGATGATAATGATGGTGGTGGTGGTTGTGTGTTTGCTGGTTATGATAACGATGGTGATGCTGATGAGGATGATGGTGGTGGTCGTTGTGGTAATGCTGCTGCTGCTGCTGATGAGGAGGAGGAGGAGGAGGAGGAGTTGGAGGAGGAGGAGGGTGCTTTCGAGGCAGGGGGGGGTCATCAGGAGAGCCCCTGCAGTTCCTGGTGGTACGGAGGAGAAGGGGGGTAGAAGTAGTAAAAGGATGTGGAGCCGCGGGATGAGGGGCGAGCTGGGGGCGAAGAGGTCGAGCAGGATACGGAAGATGCGGAGGAGGAGGAGTTCGGTCAAAGTCATTAGGAAAGTTACCTCCGAACCCGCGGCCCATGCGGCCGTTGCCTTCGTTCCAGCATGGGCTAGCGCCTCACCCTGCGCCTTTACCACAGAGCCTCGTTGTGGTAGACTGTTGGGGAGGGGCCACGGAGTTTCCAGAGGGTTCTGGAGGCCTCCGAAGGCATCCATGGGGCAGCCAGAGGCCCTCCACGAGCCAAAAGTGTCCGGAAGCTTCGATCCTTGAGGATCGGGGATGGGAGGAGGAAGAGAGGGGGGGGAGGGTCGCCACAGGATCGAGGATGTGAGGAAGAGGGTCGGAGGAAGGCTCGACGGTTGAGGAGGAGAGAGAGAGGGGCAGGGGAGAGGTCGGGGGCTGCAAAGAGGGTGATGATGACTAGGGGGGGGGAGGGTTTTCATGGCCAGGGCCATGATATTTCCCCAGATTGCATGGCGCCTCTTCGTATTTCAATGCGTTTCCTGCCCCCCCCCATCCCCCCTGGGCCGCGCACGTGCCGCCAGCCATGATGTGGGCCCCTCCCTCTTGGACGCCCTCCTCTTGGCCGCCCCTGGAGAGAGCCGCGCGCGTTTGGAAGTCGAGCCTGGTGAGACAAAGAAAAGCGTGCACCTTCCCGAGGTCCAGCCGGGGCATGCGCTCGCACCTCCGCGACGAGACGTACCAGCAGGACACCCTCGACGTCGACTGCATCTCGGACTGGCTCCCGCGGCTGCCCTCGTCGTCGTCGTCCTCGTCTGCGCGATCTCCGGTCAGGCTGTTCCCGCGTATCCGGCCGTGACTGCGATGGTGCCCCAGGAGGCCTTGAGAGGGCAACAGGCGTCCCCAAAATCTCGATATCATGCTCTTCGCAAGTTCAGTATCGTTTGAACGACCCCTCTCCCCATCCACGTCCCCATCCACATCCCCACCATCACAGCGCCCCAGTTAGGGAAATGCCCGTCGAAACCTGAAGGAAACGGCCTAAATCCCCAGCTAGAGGGTCGCGTCGTCCAGTGGGGCGTAGGCCGCGTTCATGGGGATAGGGGTCGGATGCAGTTGAAGCCCATGCGAAGAAGCATCTTCCTTACCTCCAGGGAGCCCTGGGTTTTTGGGGTGTCGATGATTTTGCGACGGAAAACATGACGTCCCCACACCAATAGTCAGTGGACGTCCTGGGGTCTCATTGTTGGGTTTCTCGTCGAAGGTTTCTAGTGGTCGAGCTCCTACTGTATGTCCTCGCCTCGTAGTTCCGTCTGTGGAGTGCCTTCGCGTGCGCTAGCGTGTGGTAATCGATGATAAAACGCCGATCTAGCTCCGAATAGCGCTGACTTCTGGCGTCGATTATGGTAGATCGGCGTCGCTCAGCGTCGGTTCGCCGTAGCCAACTCGAGCTCGGCCCCCGAGGCCTCCACACCCCGAGAGCGCTCCGGCGAGGCCTGCGGCTCCTGCGCCCAGCCGTGGCCGTGAGGAGCCCGCCGAGGCCGAAGCGCGGCGGGGAGAAGCAGGGCCCTGGCCGCCCCCCCCCCCCCGATCTTCGAGCCCATCTCGTGGCCGCGACAAGGAGGCAGGGGAGGAGCAGGTACCCAGAATTACGCGGACAATCGAAATTATCGCTGTTCCATAGAGAGAGAGAGAGAGAGAGAGAGAGAGAGAGCTGTCCTCTCTCCTCTCTCCTCTCTCCCCTCTCCCCTCTCCCCTCTCCTCCTCTCCCCCCCCTTCGCCGCACCACGTGGCGCGGACAATACATCGCATCGTTGTTCTATAAGCGTTGGTTTTCCACCCCACCCCCCGATCTTGATATTGGGTGCAGTCCGGGCCAGTCGAAACAGCTCGGTGGTGCAACATTTTCTCGGGAGCCCCCGGACGGCCCAAGGGCTCTTCGCAATGCACCCAAGATTAAGAACGGCGGGAAAGGGGGGGAAAGAGCAATGCAGTATAGGTGCCAATGCGCAGAACAAGTGGTACCCTTCTCTCGTTTTCGCCATCGTCTTATCGACGATGAGTTAGGGGAGGGAAATGGCACCCATACCGCTGCCCTTCCCTCGTGTTCGCCTTCTTCGGCCTCCTTGGAGGCCCCCGTCGCCACCGCCAGATTGCCTCGATCAGGACACACCCCAGGAGAGGCCCGGGGAGTAGAACGGTATGGATACCTCTTGGTTTCCCCCGCGACGAGGAGGAGGGTTGAGGATGGAGGAGGTCGTTGTCGTCATTGAGATCGGGCGTCGCGAAAAGTGCAACTTCATGGAGCACTACATGCTTTTGAGGCATCGGCGGAATCTTCCTGCGGCATTTCTCGAGCCATGAGAGGAGCACGACGAGGACGGAGGAGGAGCACGAATAGGGAGGAGGAGGAGAAGGAGGAGGAGGAGGCGGAGGAGGAGGAGGGGGGGAGGAGGAGGAGGAGGAGGAGGAGGAGGTGAGGAGAGAGGAGGAGGAGGAGGAGGAGGAGGTGAGGAGAGGAGGAGGGAGGAGGAGGAGGCGGAGGCGGAGGCGGAGGCGGAGGCGGAGGCGGGTCAGTAGGAAGAGGAGGAGGAGGAGAAGGAGGAAGAGGAGGCGGAGGAGGAGGGGGAGGGGGAGGGGGAGAGGGAGGGGGAGGGGGAAGGGGAGGGGGAGGAGGAGGCGGCGGAGGAGGAGGAGGAGCAGGACAGGACAGGACATCCGCATAAGGGGGTTCAACGTCAAAACACCTACTCTGGTGCCTCGCGCGCTTCTGACAAAATCCCCTGCGATCGGTTGTGCAACGGCCCCAGGGCCGGCAGTGGGCATACCGCGCAGCTCAAGGAGTGAGCTCCGAGGTGGCCCCGTAGGAGAGGTTCGCTACCTTACGAATACGAGTCCCTGCGGGTCAGTGCGGGGGGAGCAGCTGCTGGCCCCTCCGAGTGCCCAAGAGGTGGGGACGCGCGGGCTTCGCAGCGCGCCTAGGCTAGGGGGGAGGAGACGACGACACGACAACTCAAAAAAAGGAGGGGGAGGGTCGGGAGGCCCGTGCTTCCCAAACTTTTGCTTGGGGGCCTGATTACCCTGCGGATTTGTTTGTATCCTAGTCTCTCCTCTCTCGCTCGGCTCACTTCTCTTCCACCTCGTGGCTTTCGTGATGGTCAGTCGCTTCCCCCATTCATCACCCTGCAGCAATGAACCTGTCGGCGCCCCCCCCCCCAAAAAAAAAAACACGCCCCATGGCGATGTCAGTGCGGGCATCCTGTGTTTGCCCGTCCTGTTTGCCTAGAGTCGCACTCCGAGATAACCTCGCTAATGCATCTCTTGGCTTTGCCAGTGGGCTCGCCCAATTTGCCTAGGGTAGCACTCCGAGAACACTTTGCTAATGCATCTCTTGGCTTTCCAGAGGGCTCCAGTGGGTGCTCTCACTGGTGGCCGCTGAAGGAATTGGCCGTCGTCGTCTCCTCCGACTTAGGTTCGGCGAACTTGTCTTCGAAGATCTCGGTACCATCCAGCCGGGTCTGCCTGCCGTTTCGTAAATTTTGGCGTTCTTTGAGCCTTTTTTACTTCCCTGTGGGTCGAGATTGTCCTCGTTACTCAGCTTCTTGATGGCGACCTTCGTGACTTTGTGGAGAATCTCTTCGTCATTCTTCGAAACCTTCAGCGCCAACTCACACCAGTTCTGCACAGTGAAGGCCTTCCTCCCAGCCATTTCCCACGCGTCCACAGGGCACCTCGCGATGAGATCGCAACCTTTAACCTTGCGCGTCATCGGGCATGACACGGGGATCAGCTCGAAAAGCTCCCCTGGGCTCATTTGCTGGGCGTCGTCGTCGAACTTGTAGTGGCACTCCTGGATGGCGTCGTCTAGCTGCTGCGGTAGCCTTTTCCGCTACGAGCGCTTCCCTGGCATTTCCCACCTTGGGCTCCACCATCATTGACGGCCCAATCTTGAACGGGAGGAACTTCGACTTGCACCCTATGTCTGGCCACCCTTTCCAGTCAGCGCCGAACTCGCCCTTCATATTGCCCACCCACTCTTTCATGAGCTCATCTTCTGCGCCTTGACGAGCTGCGACAAGTCCACCTTGAACCAGGACTGCCGCTTGTCCCCTCTCGAGTTGGGGCTGGGGCCTTTCCACTACAACTTGTTTGGGAAGGCATGCCCGCACGAGCAAGCTCCGCCCGTTAAACAACTGCATGTTGCCGCTCCGCTTTTCCATTAAGTCCAGCGCCTTGAGGTACGCCGGCTGTTTTTTTTCCCCCATGTCCTTCGCCGTGTTGTAGTCGCCCATTTCGTGCAGCTTTTTCTCTTTTTCCTCCAGCTCGTTGTGTCCTGCCTTCAGTGCATATTCGCCATCGATGCCCATGGCAATGTACTTGTTGAACAGGATGTCGCATGCCTCGGCTCATCGCGAAGCCTCTGTCATGCTTTCCCCTGCTTTGCTAGAAAGGCTGCGAAGATGCCTCCATTCATTTTACTCCCTCCAGCAGTGCCTTTGTCGTCTCCTTTGACTTCTCCAGGGCCAACTTGTTCCTTACATTGCGAGACTTTTTCTTTGGGCCTTTTTCTTCCGCCAGGAGCGTGTGCGCTGCTTTGATCTGTCCCAAGGTGCGCAACACAGCGCACCTGGGCCGTCGTTGAGCCATATCAGCTGTGGGATCCGAATATGATCGATGGAAGTGGCCGTGAGTTTCCCATCTGCCCCGGCATTCGCGTAGTACCTTGTATGCTGGTCACATTTTCCCCCACTGACCGTGACCCGTATCTACATTGTGCGCATGTTGTATTGTACGAAGCATAGCCCGCCCACCATCTCTCCGTATCTGTAGTGAATAGAGGGAAGAAGAAACGTATCGTGTCGCCATGGTAGATGAAGTCGATTACTGACAGGGGCGGGTGGGCTGGCTGTTGTGCCAGGAAGGCCTTTCCCCAGGGCGTGTTTCCCCATATCCTAAGATGGGTTTTTTGTTATTACTTGGACGCCTCCTACTCCTCCTTCTCCTCCCTCCTCCTCTTTTCTCCTCCCCTCCTGTCGGACTTACTCATACTCACACTTGCTCATACTCAGACTTACTCATACACAGACTTACTCATACTCAGATTTACTCATACTCAGACCTACTCATACTCAGACTTACTCACACTCAGACATATTAGTCATACTCAGACTTGCTCATACCCAGACGTACACATACACAGACTTTCTCATACACAGACCTACTCAATACCCAGACTTACTCATACACAGACTTACTCATACACAGACTTACTCATACCCAGGCATACTCATACTCAGACCTACTCATACTCAGATTTATTCAACACACATCAGATTTGGAGGATGTCTCAAGCGGGGCGCTGGTTTCAGCACCCCTAAGGGGAGCCGCCAGGGGTGGTTACACGGGCTCGTTCGCGGCCATGTTGTGGGGATGTCTCAGGCGGTTTGCTTTTTTTGGGGCTCAACATCCTTCGCTTGGAGAGCAGATTGTGAGGATGTCTCAGGCGGGGCGCTGGTTTCAGCACCCCTAAGGGGAGCCGCCAGGGGTGGTTGCACGGGCTCGTTCGCGGCCATTTTGTGGGGATGTCTCAGGCGGTTTGCTTGTTTCTGGGCTCAACATCCTTCGCTTTCGGAACAGATTTGGGGATGTCTCGAGCGAGGCGCTCATTTTCACCCCCCAGGTGGGCCAGATTTTGAGGATGTCTCGATCAGTTTGCTTGTTTTGGTGGCCAGGCTCGTGGCCCTAAGGGGAGCCGCCAGGGGTGGTTGCACGGGCTCGTT